CCTATCCCCTGTGTGCCTTGGTTCACGGATTTGTTTGTCGGTTCTTCCCCCCCCCCGGCTGGACCGGAACTGCCATTGTCCCCCGATGATGATAGGTCAGTAACTGATGGATCAGTCATGTTGGAAAGCTCGGTGGTTACGGTATTGGTGGATGTTTCTTTGGGTCCGGACCTCCCTCCTGGGCACTTTCGTATGGGCAGTGGCCTAAGGGAGAGAACCCGTATGTGGTTGGGCGGTACAAGACTCGATTCCCTTCGGCGGCGCCTGTAGGGCGTCGAGCTGTGAGCTCGCCTCCGAGTGTGGCAGTTAGCATGTCTGACATTCTTGGATTGAGGCTGCCGGGGCAGCAGGCTAGGAAGTAGGCACTGGTGGAGGAGGTGGGAGTGCAGGGTGGGGTTGGGCATGTTGCTGGCGGAGAAGCTAGTTCTTCTGGTAGGTGGTGGCGCAAACGGCATTCGGGGAGGGGGCGTGGCTCAGCATGGGGTGATACCTCGAAGGCTGCGTTGGATGCGAGGTTCGCTGCTCTCCAGGAGTTTACCCCCAAGGAGTTGGCAGGTGAAGGGTATTCTCCGGGGGGGTTGGTGGGGGGTGATGATGGGAGGGTTTCTACTGTGGAAGGGGATATAGATTTAGCGGGACGGTATTAAGACTGGATTTGATAGTCTTGATTATTTTTATTTTTGTGATGGTCGCGGGCCGTAACTACCTTCTGCTCGCTGGGTGGGACCAAGGACTTCGGTCGCTCTGTTCCCATTGGGTTGGTGGTCGGTTTGTCAGTTGGGGCGAGGGAGGCGGGGGTCAATGATGGGTCTTGAACTTAGCTTTCGTGTATGCTCATTCGTGGGAGTGTTTGACAGTTGGGACTTGGAGGCTTTTGCGCTTTGTATGGTAGTTGTTATTTGGAGGAGTGTGCCGGTGTATTGTGGGGACCCCAGCCCCAGGCTGTTGCTTTCAAGGACAATTCTGGTCCGCTTGTGGTCCGCCAGAGGCCCACCTGCCCTTATGGTAGGTGTACAATAGGATGATCGCTCGACTATAAGCCATGTTTTGGTGCGGTAAGTATAAATAAAATTAGATATAATTTGAACACCTGTACCCAGGAATTACACTCTCTTCTACTTCACGTCCTCTGGAACCTCTGAACCCTGACCCTGAACCCCTGAACCCCAAACCTCATACCACTTGCCTTGGTTGTATCCCCGTCCCTAGACCTCATCTCTGAACTCTTGCCTGCCCCTGTCGTGGTGTGGCTTGGGCTACTCAACCCTCAGACCCTGCCCGTTACAACTTGAAGAGGTAACTCTTCAACCAAGTATATTAGAAATACTGTCTGTCGAAGTCTGCTGTTCCATCGTGGAAAGCAGCGGTCTTTAAATATATATTTTGCTCATATCCTGTATGTCTAATCTTCTCAAGCGTTCCTTAAGCAGGGTGACACTTCAAACAAACCTGAGTATCAAGACAGGATACTCGAAACCACAAGTAAAACAAACTGAGTATCAAAGGAGACTCGAAGCCACAAGTAAAACAAACTAATCCCGCAATTCGCTGAACCAGACTCCAGTTCCCATTACAGATATGATAAGTAGGAAGTAAAATAGTCCACAACACGATGAGTTGGAGCCAATGGCTTCTGCTCTTTAGGTTTTGGAATAAGTTTAGATACTCCAGCAATACCTTTTATTTGTGAACTGTAAGTAAAGTTTATAGTATATCCTCGCCAGCATAGTGCAAAAATCTTATAACCTTGCTTGATAGGTTTATTTTTAATTTTTACAGTATGCATACTCTTTCCCATAAACTTAACCATCATTTCATCAACAGCTACTTCTGTTGCAGGAAGTAGGTAGCATTGTGAAGCTAATCGTAAAGGAGCTGCCATAGGTTCAACCTTTTCATACCATGGTGGTATGATATGTTTTATTGAATTTTCTTGTCTGGTAGATTTATTACTCAATTTCTGAAAGGTAGGTATTTCAGTTTTTATTGGTTTCTCAATATTTGATAGATGGGTGCTGTTATGCGAAAAATGTACCAATCTCTCAATGCAACAAATATACTTCACTTCATATAAAACTTCTTGAGCATGTAGAGTACCCTCTGATAGTCTTAAAAAATATTTATCAAGGAATTTTTATTGAGCCCAGAGTAGAGTTTTAAAGTGAATATTTCAAAAAATCAGTTTTTTTTATTATTACATAGAAAAATAGAGAAGATAAGGATCTATCAGGAAAACATTTCCGGCTTTATTTTAGGAGGAGAATTCATTGTTATAGTATGTTTTGTAATTTTCATTTTTATTTCTTAATTGCAACCACAATGATAAATCCGTAGTATGAATAATAAGTGCAACAGGAAATATCAGACAATCTGATTATCCAATCTTTTTTGTATGCTAGTGAATCTGATGTTAACATAGTGAAGCAGAACTTTTCAATCAGAGCTTGCACTAAAGCATATTCTTTTCTTTGAGCTCAAGAAGTACAAGAAATATTACTACATTCATTCTAAACTGATAGAACACAATTCTCTTACCAAAGCTGATTCTTCTTAAAAACAAAAGCTTACATATGCAATGTGTAAAGAAGTTTAAAACTCAGTAAGCTGATACAACACCAGACAGTAGAAACAATGGAGAAAGTAGTACTAGTAAGTTTACACTGCAAGGACTGTACTTCAAGTTTATACTATACAATTAGAGAAATTATTTGCTAATCAATAATTAGTTGTATAGGAAGCTAGTGGAGAACACGAGATATACCAGGATACAGATCATGAGTATGACACAAGTAGTCTAAAGACTACAATATCAGATACTAGATCAATAAAGCAACTTGGTCAGGGACACCCTCCATGCTCTATGAATAAGAAGAGGAAATGTAATTGAGACTTGTCAACTAGAAAGATACTAAGTGTATTATTTGTCTACAAAAATGTAATTTTTAATGATAATTTTTAATTACAATATTCCTTATTTTTTTATCATAGGTCTATATTACCATAAATTCTAAGTTTTTTGAACCTAGTTTATGAGAAATTCAATCATTAGTTGTACTGTTATTATAAAATTTAGAGATTAAATCGTTTTTCTTGTTTTTCTCAAGATTCACTTTGGTTGCTATGCAAACTTTAAACCACAATAACTCTACACTCTTTAAAATGCAATAGTACATTATTCGCATAACAACCCGCATATGAAAAAACCGCTTAATTTGTTGAAAAGGAGTAAGAGTCATAAAGCGCATCAGTGACTCTGGGTAATCAAATTCAGTGCTCCAGTACAGGTTTGGCCGCAGTGTTTTTGCACTATTCCTATGCAATCCCATATATATAATAATTGCAAACCAAATTTTCAACTCTCCTTTACTCATCTCATACCAGGGACGTGAAGTTCCTTCCCCTGCTTTTTTCCTTTTTGCATAGAGGTTCGTATTTTGAACTAACTCATCCTATGTATTATCACTAATAAAAAGTTTAAAATAGGCTAATGGACTGAATATATTGTGCCCAGGAGGTACTCGAGCTTGGGCCTGATGTGGTGGACTCTGATGTATGAACGGTGTAAAATGTGGAACCTTATTTAGTAAAAGAGGTTCATAATCATCGGGTTATGAAAGTATCTCGAATGAAATCTGTGGTGCTGGATCCCAATCATCCAATTCTTCATCCACCTCCTCCGCCTCTGTTTTCTCTTGCTCTTTTTCCTCCTCCCCATACTGCTCCGCATCCTCCTCCTCCTCTCCTCCACTGCTTCCTGCTATTTCGTAGTATCTTATCCCTTCCCCCTCAGGAAATTCATCCTTATGCTCTGCCCCTAACATCTTTCTACAAGTGCGGCAGATAGATATATTCGTCACATGCGACTGACAAGAGAAAAGTGTAGTTGACCTTCTTGTGGTATACCCAGATAATGCACGTGATGAATATATTTATCGGCCGTACTTGTAATATGTGAAGTATTTCAAATCTGATGATTGTGGTTGATAAAAAGAATTTTAGCATAAACACAATCATGTTGTGTTTCTTTTTTTACACTAGTGTTTGACTGCCACCCCATTCATCTTTTGCCATTCACACAGTTTCTCTTGGCTGTTGCACTAACTAATTATTCACTAGTTCATCCAAGTTGTATCGCAGATTTCTTGGACGCAGGGCCTTACAAACTAAGGGATACATACATCGCCCAGGACGATACCAAACAAATACCCGTACTGGGCACTCAACTCTAGACCTTTTCCTTCTTGGTAAGCAACACTCCACGCGGTAACAGAAATCAATCGTTAGCCTCATAATCATACTCATCCCCTTCCTCCTCCTCGACCACTTGGCCATCAATGCCCACTGCTGCCATACAATACTCACCAAATACCAGTCTAAACTGCCTGAGATTTAGTTTTTTGCCCAAGGGGGAAATCGATGCAGAGTCAGGAATCTGCTGTGCTTTGGAATAGTCATCTGCCCAGTCTTCGGGAACAACAAAAACAAAATCGATGTTCATAATTGTTTTTGGTAAACATTTCAGAAGCTGCACCACCCCAAGTGGCTTTATCTCATGCTTCTTGGCCAGTGTGATTTAGAACAAGAGCAATGTTTCCACATCACTAAACATAAGCCCATCCACAGATGGAAAGTTGCGGCTATAAGGGAGAAAATAATGATGGACAACTGCAGGGTTGATTCCGCGACCTCCAGGTCCCTGGACCTGTTTGCTCAAATTGTCCCCCGTAGTGAAGTATCTCGGTTGGCCCGATTCGCTCTTGGTGGAATAGAATTGGAGGGTAGCCACTGTGCTGTCAAGGACAGGCATTTGGTCTGCTTCAAAGGTACCACCTCGAAGGAGCCAGTCATGCACATACCCTTCAAAGAACCAACCTGCAGCAGTTCTCAAGGCGGGGTGAAGGGAAAAGGCACTTGAACGTCTCGAAACAGCCATGTTGTGAGTGTTTCTGGGCTTTTTCATACACCCGATAGCCAATCCATCGTGTTATTATTCGTGCATTATAGGAGAATCCACCCTCAGTAGGATCCAAAATAGCCATTTTGTGTGATGAGCCTACAAGGACAGCATGCTCAACCGTCTCGTGCCTACCACGGGCAACGAACTTCGCTATTTCACAATCTACCTCCCTAAGGTAGTTTTGGAGAGTTTTGTTATATAAGTTATCGTCGCTCATATCAATCGATTCAAGGCATGTACAAGCGACAGGGCCGAGGCAGGTATACGTGCTGAAGAGTTTATTAATCTCGTCTTGGCTGGGCGGGTTCTCAGCTTCCAAGCTATAATATGGAGATCAGCAACCATGTCAAAATTTTCTTTGGTCTCCATCTGGTCACAAGGAAGGGTTCTTTACCAGTATGCAGCAAAGATTTCTGGCCATGGCCAATTTCTCATGAAATATAAGCTCACTCTGCGGTTCTTGTGCCATCCCTGACATGCTCTCACCGTCTCTGGAGATGCAGCAAACACTACAAACCATCCCGAATTCCTATCATGCCAATGGCGGCCGTGCAGAGGCTCATCAGTCAATACCCATAGTTTTCGCTTCTTCTCTTGTGTCAGCCAGAATAGCGCCTGCATGCTAGTCGCTTCCCCAGCTGAGTCTTCGTCGAATAGGAAACACATGTTGTCATTTATCCTGTATATGGTGGGAAGGGAATCATGCAGTCTGCGTACTAGAAGATAGGAGAGAAGATAGGTTTTTCCTATCTCAGAGTTAGAAGTCTTGCCAAACATGATTGGAGGAGCAATAACTAACCTATACCAGGCTGACCTGAGAGTTCACAATCTAGCCTGCAACGGGCAGTGGGGTTCTCCCAGTGGCGAGCCCCCGACCATCTTCTCCCCTCAACTTCTATTAACCTATTGCGCACCGCATCGTACTCGGACCGAACCAGTAACTTGTGGACTCCACAGGGTAAACGTGAATCAACAGCCACTATCCGGAATAGCTGGTCCTGCCATCTCGACTTCAATCAACTATAGGGGTTGAAGCTGCCGCTGCTTGCGGTCGATTCCAAGGGGATTTTGTATCCAGGTCGGATACCATAGTTTGCAACAGGAACATTCACTGTGAACTCCTAGACAACGGGGGATAACTTTCCCTACAACTCGTGGTACAGATCTTGCATATCTTGCTGCATCGTGTTTATGGTATTTGAAAGGTGTGTCCCTGAATTTGGTGAACTGTAGACTTTTAAGGACTTATTCGGTGATGGAAGTTGAAGTATGGGTTGTAGCAAGAAGGGTGTTGCTAACGTGGCCCTATAGTATGCCAAAATCCGTAACAGGCTACGTGTCACAACCAAATCTCATTTTAGCGGCTCTGAGACTATACTTTAATGAGTTTACTGAGTCTAGTCTAAAAGAAGTCATCTCCTTACATATCCTCAGCCCCAACCGGGGTCCTTACAACTACCAAGGTATTAAGCGGGCTACCACTACTATAATGACTGACGAGCGGAAAGAGATTGTTCAAGAGTCAGCTGAAGAGTTTAAATTGGATGGGCTGTGGAGTGAGGATTGGAATGCAGGCGGACCGGGCAAGGAGATAGAGATACAGGATTGATGATCCTGTGGAATCTTTTGTTTTTCTTTATATAAAAGCCTACATTGTGCTTGCTTTGGTTTTTTTTGTAGTGGTCTGCCATAGCGCTCTAGCTTTTCGTAGATATGAGCTACAAATGTATAATTCCGGCCGCCCATACATCTAATATCTTTCGCACACAAAACCCTAGTCTCGGTAGCCACTACGGACCCAGGTGGGGGAAATCATAATCACTATTGTACTCGAGTACAGTAGTGCTAGCTGAGCAGAAGCCCGTATGGGCACCCACCAGCGATACCCATGTAAACCCGGGAGGTGTACTGTACCCCTCACCACCCCCATCCGTGATGAAAATAGCTTATCACACTCGAAATCGTATAAGTAAAATAACAGGTATAACCCAACCTTTATATCTTCTCCCACCCTGCTCCTTCTTTCTTCGCTATGCCCCTTCTATGAACCGGGAAGATTTGCGACCCGACACTCTTGGCGAGCCTGTGCTACCGCCTTGTCGTCGTGACAGGTGGGTATACAATCGAACAGCTCGAGCAGGTGAATATCCGCCTCCTCAAATACCTCACCGATCATGCGGATGATCCCATTGCGATTCCGGCAAGCAGGGATTTCACACACACCGCTGATGCAAGCACTAGTGACCTTAGGGAGAGCATAGGTATTGGAGGCAGAGGTTTTGGGGCTGCCTAGCTGGGTTGGGCTGGATAGGTATTGATGAAAAGCAGGCGAGATGGGTTCCGGCACTTTTTTTTCTCCTTCTTTTTTTATTCTATTCTTCCTAGATTTGCTTTGTCCTCGTTTCCGCTTTGGATGCTGGGGGGATCGTATCCTTTCCTATTTACCTATGCGAGCAATTACCAATTGCTGGCCAAACATGAGAAAAGGAGTAGTAATAAAGTCAAATATCAGGTAAAGAAGCAGAAGCTGCGCGCTGCTAGCAGAAAGGAAGAATGGTGGAAGAAAAAGGGGAATGCAGCAGCTAGGAGAGAAATTCAGGAAGGGAAGAAGCTAAGGAAACGGGTGGGAGGTCTGATGAGAAATAGACAAGCTTTGGGTGGGGCAGGGACATGGTGGGATTCTGTCAGTGGTATTGATAATTAATGTAAGCTCTAGGCTTGGTATCAAGTTCGCTTTGTGCTGGACACAGTGACTATCGAGGAGTGTGCGTGTCCCAACATATTATATTGGTGTACTCAGATACCTGTATGTCCCTGGATCAGAGCAGGTTAGCGGACTATAAAGGAGAAGGCTGGAGCCCAGAATTGGGGCTTCATGTGAAAATAGCCTGTACCAGGTGCAGGAGCAGAAGAAAACAGATACCATATTCAGAGCCTCTTGAGAGTGCCAAGGATCAGCTTCCTTCTGGCGGAAGGATTCTGTCGTTTGTGATCCGGTAAGTTGCGTGATGAGCGGGCGATTCTTTTAGAACCGGAGGGGATTCTCGGGTTTTGACTGTAGGTTTAGGGAAAGTGTTTGACGTCGGGGAAGAATTTCGGTAGAGGACTGTGTTATGTCCCAACTGGCGGTAGCGCCTTACAGTGCCCGAGTGTGTGGAATGAGCTGCAGGTAAAAAAGCTGGTACTTCACTGAATAACTCCACAAAAGTGTAGATAATTATACTCTTTTTGCCCAACTCTAACCCATAAACATCGACTCTGATTACGATGCACGAGTGGAGTCCTGTCAGACTAATCTCTTCTGAAAGATACTATCCCTGCGCGGCATTTCCCGTGCCAAGCATCCACATTGTCCGTGTGCAAAGCTTAACCCAACCTACAATTGTGCACTATATCTTTGTCCGTCGAACCAACGACCAGCCCATCCACTTTTATTCTCCGCCGTATCGCTGGGAACCCCAGATTCGACCAACCCCTTCACCCCAGCCTCAGCAATCTCCACTGCCCATCTGCTAACATCTAAAGCTCTTCTGGGATCGCCGGGCTCAGCGGCAGCCTCTCCACCAGCGAATTGAGTTGTGTCTCGGTATGCAATGTCGTCTGGCATACCTGATCGCGTTCATCCCCATTCTCCAATCCACCTCTTTCCCCCCTCCGCCTCCCAATCCCAACATGAGATAAAATAAATTCTACATAGCAATGACAAACACACCCCATAGCTCCTTGAGACCGACAAAACCCTTGCGTTCCTCGACATCAATCCTCTCTCCAGTGGACCCGCGGCAACCTCTCCTCTTCTGCCCTCCCCCACCTCCTCCCACAGGCAAGTAAGCGAATAGCTAACCCACATCCAGCTCATAATCCCCAAACCCTACCTCGAAAAGCTCCACCATGTGCCTGGCGCAGAACTCAGCGAGCGCCTCCCCACCGCAAACAAGCTCTCGATAACAGTCCTTACAGTAGAGCACAACATTTTACAAAATCGGCGTGGGGCTCATCAGCTTATTGATCATGTTTATATTCATATGGTAGGTCCCCCCATTAGGTCATGCTCAGTGGAAGCATTTGAAGGGCTAATCATTTGGTGGTGTTGCGTAGATTCCGAAGCCGAATACAAAGCAGGGGCTGGGGATTGAGCGGCCGGCGCAGGCTACTGATATGGATTGGTTGAAGGTACTGTTTGAAGGATTGAAGACGAGGATTTAGAGGGGGCGAGGGAATAGGGTTGAAGCATTGCTTTTTTAAATGTGTGGGATACGATCGCGCCATTCAATTGGTTTCTGTGATAGTAGCAGAAAGTACCTGGCCTAATATAAAAGAAAACGGTGAAGACAGCTCTAAGCCCTCAATTTCTTTCTCTCCCCGGACCCCCTCCTCCTTTTAGGCGTCTAGCTAAATTGGGCCTCGCGGGCTGCCCTATCCCACCTCGGTCCATCCACCTCTCGAAAACCATTCTCACTCGCTCATTGGCTCCCTATCACGCAATCGTTTGCAACAAAAGAAGAGTAAAGTGAGCAACCGAACCCAACTGAAAGAACGGTAACCGGAAAAAGGAAAGGGGCGAGGGTAGTGAAAACTGCATGGTGGTAAGATGTGCATAGGGTGCGGCGTGATTAGGAGGCATAGAATTCATGTATAGCTCAGGATGGTATAGATATAGGACGTTGAACAGCAGGGAGAGGTAAGAGAGCGGTGATGATGATGGTGATAAAAAGTAAGATTCTATGCATACACTAACATGAACGAAAAGAGAATGAGTACTGTTTCTTGATCGATAAAGTGAGATGAGCAAATCAGTGGAAAGGAGGAAGCTTCCATCCATGTTCTCGCAAACTCATCTCGAGTCGGAGAAGCATGTGTGGTTCTTCTCCTGTGTCCGCCCTGTTTGGCAATTTTTTCCCAGGTTAGTCTCGTCCTGTCATATGCAAGGAATCAATTTCAACCTGCTAATCTCGTCTTTCTAGATAATTTCTTAATGATCTGCTACCCGTTCCTGAACTTCCATCCGTCCGAGGGCATATTTTCCTCAAGATCTATTAGAGGAGAAGGGCCCAGAACATCGTGCATGTACCTAATCATTTCTTAGCCTCTCCTTTCTAAATAATCTTAGCCCTCGTTGGAGTGAACACCCCCGGTACCCCATAACTACCCCAGCACCGGCACCACTGCCCCTCTTTCCAATCCCTCCCAGACCGGGGCTCCTCGTGCTCATCCGTGCATTCCTTGTTCTCCTCCACTCCACCATCCCCCTCGCGGCGCGAACCTGCGCTTCCAGTAGCACAGACTCACCACCGCTCACTCGCCCAGCGCCCTTCAACGCCTCTCTTAAACCTACCTATCCCCCCCGCAGCGCAATATACTCCATCCTGATCCTCACGACATACCTGCGTGCCTTCTCTTCATATGTGCCCACCAACGCGAGTAACTCCTTGCTCGCGCGCGGTAGTCCAGCCCACGAACCCGCGTCCATGGCAAGTCTGACCTCGCTCGATCGCGCTAAATTCCCGGACTATGGAGGTGTAATTTGGGGCGTGCTGGCGGGAGAGCGTCTTCAAGGTATGTAGGATTGTGCTGGCCTCATGGGTGAGAGCTGAGAAAGTGTTGATGTGGCGCATGAGTATTTCGGGCGGGAGAGGATGAGAGGTGTTAGGTCAGGGAGGACGGAAGGTGGAGGTAGGGGTTGTTTTTTTGGGAGATATTTATAGAACAGGGGAGGTGGTGGGAGGTGGTGGTTGCGGTGCTGGAGGGTTCAAAAGTTGGCGGAGTCTGGGCTTGTGAGTCTTGATAGGAAGAGGGGGTGGGTTGAGAAGGAGCATACTAAATGAGCAATCGACTGACAGTGCTTTCGAAGGCTTGGGACAAGCTCCCGCCTGGGTCGCAAATTTGAAGAGGAGGCCTGAGAGGGTGTGCTTGTAGTCTAGGTCGCTGTGTCTGACCACAGTACTCAGATCACTGACTGCTACCCCACCCTGTCCCAACAACCCCGCGAGAGCAAGGTCTCGATTGAGAGGAGTCCCAGGAAGTCTACAGTCGCATACTGAGAAGCGTTATACCCCTCGTAAGCACACCTCGCCTGCGCCAAAGACTACCTCGTGGTTATTTCTGCCCTTGGGAATCTATTTTGCAGCATAGCATAACCAGGCTCAGATATCAGAAAAAGAGCGTTCCGAAAGAGTAGCTCTTCTGATGGCTCCGGACTTACTTCAAATAACATCCAAAGGTCGCTTTCGATCCGTGCATGCCCCCAAAGACAGAGCTCTCGCTGACCCCCAAAGCTAAAGATGAGGAGGAAGCTATGGGGATACCTTCAGATTGTCGAAGAGAGATTTTGGGCTCATCTAAAACTCAAACATTTAGCCTTACTCGAAGAATGGGTGATATTCAAATGAGTATACCAAAATCCAACTTCGTCTAGAAGAGACTGTCCAGGCTGGGGATACCACTGGTCTCCCTACCGCTCGTTGTCTTAACTTCTTCCCTTCCCAAATCTCTCTCCAAGCTGTCGCGTTCCCCTTTTCCTTCCGCCTTTCTTCCCCGCCGACAGCAGCGGGCAGCTTCTGCTCCTTTACCGGATATTTGACTTTATTACCACTCCCTTTCTCATGTTTGGCCAGTAATTGGTAATTGCTCGCATGGGTAAATAGGAAAAGTTACGATCCCCCTGGCATCCAAAGCGGAAACGAGGACAAAGTAAACCTTGGAAGAATAGAAAGAAAAAAAGGAGTAAAAAAAGAGGGGAAAAAATGAGGGGAAAAAAAAGTGCCGGAACCCGTCTCGCCTGCTTTTCATCAATACCTAATCGAATTCTAATCCAGCCCAACACAGCTAGGCAGTCCCAAAACCTCTGCCTCCAATACCTCCGCTCTCCCTAAGGTCGCCAGTGCCTGCATGAGCGGTGTGTGGGAAATCCTCGCTTGCTGGAATCGCAATGGGATCACCCGTGCGATCGGTGAGGTATTTGAGGAGGCGGATATTCACCTGCTCGAGCTGTTCAATCGTATACTCGACCGTCTCGAAGACAAGCCGGTAGCGCAGGCCCGACAAGAGTGTCGGGTTGCAAATTTTCCTGGTTCGTAGAAGGGGCAGAGCAAAGAAAGAAGGAGCAGGGTGGGAAAAGATGTAAAGGTGAGGTTAGGAGGGAGGTTGGGAATGCGGGGCAGGTGTTATGGTTGAGGTTTGTGAAGGGCCGTGTCGGAGGAACTGGTGGGGATTACTGTTTTTTCGGTTTGTTAGCCATGTTATGGAAAGTAGCCAGAGAGGGGAAAGAACCCTTGAGTGTCTGGGAGTTGAAACTCACCTGTAGATATTCCACCAAAGTTGCGAAATAAAGGCAGGTTCACGGGGAGGGGTATCCCGTTGCTGTTACTACGAGGGTGGAAAATGGATGGGAGTTCAATCCTGCCGTTCCATCGCTCGTGGGCTTTCCGGAGGTGGTCCTGAGGAATAATTCATAAGAGCAAATACTAGGGGATATGAGCGAAGCCCAGCGCAGCTCAGCTCCAGGTTGAGATGCCGCCTGCGAGATGCCATCAGCCACCGCCACCAATGACCACCAAAAATTGCCAGCAATGCCGGAAATACCCCTGTTAATTGAAGGAAACTAAGCGGGGGGGGGGGGGGGGTTGCATGCTTGCCCTCTAGCACTAGTACGCACTGTGACTGTAGCGCCGGAACTGCAAACTAACACTACTACAAGTAAACGTTATCGTCAGTTTTCACAACAGGCTGCAGGAGTGTAGATGAGTGGACGGGTGGACGGGTACAAGCAGAGGACGGAAAGACTCACCATTGCGAACATGTATTTTATCGCACTACTCGCTAGACCCTTCGCCGACATGCTTGTTATAACCACCCCCATTACCACCATGCTCCATAATGCCTGAGTGATGCGTAGAGCAAGCTGGCCTTTACGAGAATAGCCGTATTCACCATGATGCCCTAGTATTATTTCGTTCCCCGAACCCTTTGGCTCTGCGACAACCACCACGTCACGGTCTAAACCGCACCTGCATTTGTGCTGATTCCTGACTCTCCTTGTGGTGGTGAGGTCCCGGAGACCCTGACCCGAGCGTTGGAGTTGTTGAAAATGCTGCTCGGCATGCAATTGCTATCGCCCACTCCTTTGTATCGCTATTGCCTGTCCGCTCGCACACTATCGCCCGCTCGTACGCCATCCTTTGTCACATGTTCGTGAGCTGTCGCCCGCTCATGCGCTCTCGCCCGTTGGTATCGCTGCCGTTCCCGTTTCCATTACTGTTATCCTTACTCGTTGTCGCCCGTTCGCTCGCAGCCGTCGCGCGGAAGTTGTCATCCGTTCGTCGCTGGAGGAAAGATCATGGGCATGGACG